TATCGGGCTTCTCCGCCTTGATAGCCTCCTTCAAGTCTCCCACGACTGGCCTGCGTCGATGTCCACAGGGAAAGCCACACCAACGACAGCACAGAAAAGCTTCACCATCTTTCCTCGAGCTGGCGGATTCTGGAATGAGGAAGAAGGGAAGGAGATAATGTGGTTGTCAGAGTTGCTTTCAGATAGAATTTCAGATGAGAAAATTATTGTCCGTTTCTATCAATTTGTCCGTCTATTAGAGAAGCTTAAACTGAGACTAAGACAGGTTTAGGGTTATCTTATTCTACAGTTGATTTCCGTTAATCGCGAAAAAAATTCTCACTCAAGTCACAAGTCATTTAGGAATTCTTTTACAAGCTGCGGATCATTATCTGGTTGACGGCCTGCCGAGTAGTGCTCTCGTGCACGCGACGACGTAGGTCAATTGAGCTAGAATGCAGCGAATGCTCATTCTAAGAGGGATTGTCGCCCGTTTGGGTTAATTCTCCGCCAGATACGCTTCCAAGAAAGTAAGTATTAAAACTCCCTGTCTATTGTTGATATGTCTCGCGCTTGTACTGAGTTCTCTACAGTGTGTTTCTTATGTGACTTTATTTAGATCAGTGGGTATTTTTGGTTATACAAGTATTCTACTCTTCAACTGCTATTACATTCTTTACCATGGAGATACCTCTTCCGAACCAATTGCGCTGTGAAGTGACGGTAAAAGCTGGGAGACCTTTTGAGCGATGCCGCGATAAAGGAGCTGCTTTGACTTTTGATATCGATGTATCGGAAGGCTACGATGTTTTAAGAGCAAAAGTTAAGTCGGCGTTCGCTAGCAAGGAGCGTCTGTGCTGGAACGGTGGCCTGGATGTTTTCATCAAGCTTGCCAAGAATGCTCCGCAGAAAGCATTTGTGAAGCTAGATCAAGATGGATTCTTGCCTTTGCTTCAAACCGCATGGCGTAACGCACGGCTACGACGTGCTGGGCAAGATGATTTTTCTCTAAACCTTTTTGTTTATGTAGAGAGACCGAAAAGGACACCTACTGCTACGCTTCATCGAGCGACGGAGAATCGGGTACAACAAGTCCTACAACGTGTCCAAGAAGCGCTACAATCGGCCAATGTATCCTTTGGTCCTGTTACGTTGCGTTATGCTGCAACTGCCCAAGCCAAATTGCCGGATAGTGAAGAAGTACGAGTTCCAGACAACACGACGTTCCGTCAGCTACAGCACATTGACAGCTTGGAGCAACAGGCAGTCAGCAACGTGAGGGAGCCGGATGAATTTGCTCCCATTCAAGTGATGATCAACGACGCAACGGTGACGTTAAGGATGCGGGTGCAGGACATTCGATGCGCATTGGGATTGCCACCGTACCCGCTGTGTCCTCCGTTCCGCCAACCTCCCATATACGTTCCACCACCTGCTCATGACATGGAGGACGTTGACCATGTCCTCAGCGACGATGGAAACGACAATGACCTGGCTGAATTTGCGGTTTAAGAAGTTTATTAATTGGCAATATTCAAAGCAGCTTCTAAGTACCCACAATGGCGATATAATTCGTAGCCAACTTAGCTATGTGCTTTAGTACACTCCCGTAGAGCAGCATTGATAACTGCAACAGGCGCCTCCTTGAAAGACAGTCTAGCATACTTGAATATCCAGCGTTTCAAAAGGGAGAACCCAACTTCAATAGGGTTCAAATCTGGTGAATACGGGGGCAGGAAGAACAAAAGTGCTTCTGTAGAGTGAACCAGATCCTGCAACTCCGCATACATATGAATTTTAGCATTGTCAAGAACAACAATTGACCGTGGCAGCGGGTATCGGTTTAGGTAGGGCGCGATTTTCGTGAATACTAGTTAGTGGTAATTTCTGTTCGTATTTAAGCGGAAATGAACGCGTGTTGCATAGACTTCCAACCAATGGTGAAAGGCCACTTTGTCGCGTGCTTTAAACCTACCCTCGATAATAAATTACGCGGAAAAAATGACGTCGTAATGTTCTAAATATTACTTCTGTCGTTTCATTGTAATACTGTTCCACGGCATGGCACTTGTCAGCCGTTGTTAATTAACGTTAATCGTGCTAGTACGATGCGCACTGGGTTCAAATGCGTAACTTCCTTCCATTTATTTCGATCGTATAAAGCACCTACGCTCCTGAAAAAGGAGAAGCCACCAGCACTCGCGAACACGTCAATATGTACCAACTTTGGAGCGACAATAGCTTGTCCTACAGAGCGAATTCGAGAACGAGGCCATTACCACTTTAAATGCCATGCACCAGGCATGGCTAATGCTTAAAATCGTGCACTATCGAGCAATATTGACAAACTTTACGTCTGACCCTGTCACAAAACCCGCCCAGCTTTTTCTGGTAAGGATAAGTACACTCTTTTGAAATGTTATTCCTAAATAATACACAAAAGAGTCAACCCTTTTGCTAGTGTACCTCAATTGTCGGTGTCATTAACTATAAATTGACGTCCTTGAAACAGGATCATCGTATGCACCAATCCGTTATCGCTTGAA